TTTTCAGCTTGGTGCTGATTTCCTTGTAAAGGGAGCTCAAATTGTTCACCATAAACATAAAATGGTGGTGAAGGGAATGAATTATTAGGCAAATAAGTGACGAGCAGTGTCAGCATGTGGTCGACTCAGAGCACATAGTAACAGTTCAAATTAAAAAAACTAAAATATAAATAAAACATGACAGTGTTAGAATGAAATGCTTTATAAAGAGATTTGTGCATGAATGGACAGCAGCATCCGCTGAACTGTATTCAAGTTCACTGAACACAGAGTCAAATAAATAATCATTCTAGAGTCAAATCAGATCCACATAAAGAGCAAACCCCCCCCCCCAAAAAAAAGCCTAAAACAGAACATTCCCAAATATGGTTCTAAAATAATTTCGCCAAAACGACAACTTTAACAACACAATAATCACAGAGCTGAAACACAGGACGTTTTAAACGCTGGACACAGTGAACACACCAGGCTGTGATGTGACGCTGATCAGCTGAGGACGACACGTTCTTCAAAAGAACACGATCGATGAACATTGAGAGCGAAAAGCTAAAATCAGTCGGCTCCTTTTAAACAAGCACTCCTGGTTGTCCAGCAGGTCTGAGGGTCAGATCACCCAAATGACTCAAAGTACCACAAGGGATGCGACTAGAGGTAAGAATAATGTTCTGTTGGTAATTTGGGCGACTGACCCTTAACATATGATAACATAACTTTGTTGTAAAGATACACGGTCTTATAATTTATGTGACCAAGTGTCACATTTACATTCACAAAATGTGCAAAAGGTACACAGAGCAAGTTTATTAGCACAAAAGAAACCTTTACAACTAGCTTAAATAACAGTTTAGAGATTTGTGTATTGATTTGTTTCTCAATGTGCTGCATCTCCAGTTTAATGGTACTCACCTTCCAATGTACATTTATATTCTGACAAAACTACATGTCCAATAAATTCTGTAATATTCAAGCTAATATGAATCTATCTGAAAATGCATTAACATGTCAAACAGGTTTCATCCACACTGGAATTATGCTTCTAAAGGTTTGTTACTCATCTTGCAAAGCCAACACAATTATGGCTGCAATTAATGATTATTTTCATAGTAGATTTTTTTCCATTATTCAATTGTTGATTCTATAAAATGTCCAAAATAAATGAATGCCCTGATGCCCTCAAATAGTTTGTTTTGTCTGATCAACAGATATTCCATTATGATATAAAACACAGAAAATAAGTAGAAAATAAACTGTTTGGTACTTTTACTAGACAAATGAAAATGTTCCTTTCATTTTGGCAGTTCAAAAACAAAATGTCTCAGCAGGTGAAAGCATCAGTGTGGACGAAACCCAAAACCAAACACAAACAGGCGTCTTTAATGTATCCGTATTAATCTGGAAACAGCCTCATCTCCATCTGACCTCTGACCTCAGCCTGAGCCATGACCCTATTCCCATGATTAATCCATGCACTCAGACTCACTCTGCTCTCGCACACTGAATATCTGTGAGCTGATTTTCACTCACTTAAAACGCACAGCATTTTTCGAAAGGTAAATGTTTTAATTGTGGGTCGCAGTGGTTGATCCTGTGATACTTTACTGTACTTGAGTACTATGCCTGTCTGTTAACAAAAGGTTGAAATGGCTCAGAAAAGCAAATGCACTGAAATGTATTAGGAACTGTTTTTGTTTTTTTAATCTTCAATATTGAAGATTAAAAAAAGTCAGTCACCGAGAGATAAATGAGGCATCAGTACAGGCAGAGGGGCAACATTACCACAGACTAACAATATGAACAGGTGACTAACGTAAAGCGTAAGGCTGTAACAGTGCAGGGCTCCAGGACTGTAACATATATTCACATCAAATTCACCAGGAAGGCCGAAATATGCTGGGAACGAATGACTCTCCAGTTCTCAGGAGTTCAACCACTGACTCCAAGACACACTGAGAACACTGCGGCCTGTCAAACCAGCTCCACTCCGCTGGTTTACACTCTTAAATATAACAAGGCAACTACAGTACAGACCAGGGAACAGCCTTATACATGTGGTGCAAGTGCCGATGAAGCTACATACTGTAACAGGAGACTTGTCTCCATCTCAACATCATTTCGGGACATCCATCTGAAGTTATTAAGCCACAAAACATGGCTGCAAACATGAGAAATGTCTGACTGACCATCTAAAAAAAACAAAATCTCAATAAGCTAAATTGGAGAAACTGAAACTTGTCACCAAAAAAAAAAAAAAATGAAGGAAAATAAATAATACAAATAAAATCTAACATTTTAAAAAAGGTTTGGGATGCAGGTGGATAAAAGGAGCCAGGTCAGCTGGCGTAGAGGCTGCATTGTGCAAAGTCAAACAAGGGACAACAGGTATTTGCACATAATCCGCAGCATGTGTTAGGACTACTGCTAAGATATGGCTTCCCATAAATAATTATGTTATTTAACAAAAAAAAATGCATTTGGTCTGTTTGACACAGGTGGAGTTAAAAAAAAATGTGATTCACAAAATTTAAATGTTGTAAGAATTAACTGCAAATTAATTTAACCCAGTTTGGTAGAAACTTATTTTTGGCACGAAGGCCCTCTTTATCCAAACCAGCTGCCACTTTTCTATTCATGCCATCACTTTACCTCAAACGAGGCAGAACAAGGCATCATATGTACACCTGGACATGCGTAAGATAAAATACATCCACCTCCATGTGTGACTGAGACTGTACAGTGATTGACATTATGTACTGGATCATTCATCAAAATGATGGCAGCGAGCACGCTCACAGCTCCTAATACGGACAAAACAAATGTCTCTACAGCAAAAACAAACAAACAAACA